AGGGACGTTTGTTTTGAAATTTTTTGATCGCGTGATGTTACACCAAATCAAGATTCTTTATTGGATAATTTGTTGTATATCATCACGTGATCGAGAAAATTTATCATAGTTACATAGTAATTTTTGTTGGCGATCCTGGGGTAGTTAAAGTCTTCAGATATGTCACGTGATTAATTGTTCTACAGTACAAATATCAAATATCTTGGTTTTATTACTTTCTGAATCAAGTATTCTGTGAAAAAGTTGAGAGATCAAACGATGGATCCGTATAGACCAGTTCATTATGGTAATGCTGCTCTATTTTATTTTATTTAAATAAGGCTAATAACTATCCTTCCTAAATGTTACCGATCTTTCAATTGCATCTTTTATTTTTCCTCTTTCCTGATTGTGCGATTTACTTTCTTTGATTTAAAATTAGCACCGTATCGACCATACGCGCCACAAAGTGGACCAACTTACGTACCCGCTTCTAGGCCAGGCTACTTACCTACCGTTCAGCCGGCTCGGCCAAATTATCTAGGTCAAAGACCCGGGTATGGACCTTTGCCCATCGGCGGTGCTCAGGGTATAGTCGCGTCTGGCTCAGAAGTTGAAAAGCTAACTACACTTTTCATTGGGGGGATATCACCGGGAGTGACAGACGACTGGATGGAAAGGATCCTTAAGGTAAAAATTGGCATTTTATTTTTTAGTGGACGAAAGATGCTACATGTTACTTTTTGTCAACAAGTTGACATAATTTTACCAAATCGATAAGACCCAAGGAAAAGTAATTACTATTGAGGCACGATTTGGCAAAGGCAATTTCTTAAGAAAATGGGCTATTAGAGGATCATTGACTTGAATAGGAGGTTTGGAACAGAAAACGATTTTTTTTTTTTTATAGCCCAAAAAAGAAATTTTGAGTTTCTTTTACGGCAGGATGCTAAATTATCTCTGTGCAGATAGCTTACGCAAATTGCCTTACAAAAATCAAAGAATAACTTTTAAGCGTGATTATTCTTTTATTTATTAACTGATGTTTTGTTTAAATCTTATTTTTCCACGCTTTACACCTGAAACATTTAAGACATGCGGCTCATTAAAATCTTGGAAACGTGTTAAAGACCAATCTGGAAACCCTAAGGGATTTGGTTTCGCTGAATATTTAGATGCAGATAGTGTTCTTCGCGCGTTGCGAGTGTTGGGTGGTGAAGGGCCTGGTGATGACAAAAAAGACAAGGGCGTTGTGCTACCCGCCTTGGAAGAGGGGGCTATGGGAAAAAAACTAATAGTGTGTTGGTTCTTTCATTGTTTCAACTGAAAAAATTTCTCTTTATATGATATATCAGTAGTATTAATTTTTTTTTTTTAATCAATTTCAGGTTAAAGCAGACGAAACTACCAGAAAATATCTTGATCAATATGAAGCATCAAGACCAAGAACTGTGGTATTCATTTTAGTTTCAATACCCTTTTTCTTCTAAAAGAAAAAAATAAAAGTCTCAAAAATATTTTAAAATCTCTTTAGCATGATACTGAACTCGATAAAAATGCCCTCTTGTCTGTCATAACTGTCGTACAAAATATGACCAAGCCTCAAGAATCTAGAGACCATTTAATGCCTCATGATAATAGGTCTGGAATTCGAAAATCTCCAAATTCTGAACATATCGATCATATGGAAAAAGACGAAGACACTGATCTACCTGCTGATCTCCCCCCTGAACAAAAAGATCTAATATACCGAGAAATCGCGTTTTTCCGAGAGCGTGCGGCAGCAAGAGAAAGAGAACGACAAAAAGAAGAAGAAGAACGTGCAAATCGAAGGGCTAGAATGGAAGCTAAAGAACGATCTCATAGAAGAGAAAGCAGAGAACGTCAACAATACGGACATTATCATCAACCTGTCAATTTTGTTCCTGCTAGAGAATCTAGACGAGAGTCCTATGCCTTGGATGATGAAGACGAAGAGCAAAAACGTCAGGCAAAAAGGAAGACAGAGATGGAAATGGCTTTTAAAGAGGTATTTCATTGTTTATATTTTTAACCTAATTATTTTATTTAATATTTATTCAATTCAATTTTCACAAAGAGGGAACGACGTTGGCAACATAGGGAAGAAACCATGGCAACAAATCGTGAACGTGAATTAGAACGAGAAATAGACGCAAGAGAAAAGCAAATACGTGATCGTGAATTAATGGCAAGAAAATTGGCGGAGTGGGATGATGATGTTGAGGCCGAAAGAGGACAAGAAGATTACTATCGAGATCGGTGAGTTCACTATGTGCAATAATGCATACATCTATTCGCATCAATAAAGTATTTATCATACCCTTTATGCAGGAATCGATGGTGGTTCCATAGACAACAATTTCGAGCACGCGAAATGGCAATGGATGAACAAGATAAACTTCGGGAGCAACAAGAGATTGAGACAGAATTACGCCAGCAGGAATTGGAAAAGACGCTTGAAGAAGAGAAAAAACAACGTTCTGAAATCACAGAGACTGAATTGAATGATGAAAAAGAGTTAGCACCTTTTACGACTAATGGATCTTCGCAAAGTAGTACAAATATCAAAGCAAAACTTACCTTAAATATTTCTTCAAAACGGCGGGCAGCATTAATGACATCGACTGAAGAAGAGGAAGAAGACGAAGAAGAACTTGACTCTAAAAGAAAGCGTAGAGTATTAGTTCCTTTAGAGTATAGTGATGATGAAGATGATGAAAAGAGAACTGAAGACAGGAAAAGAAGAATTAAAGATTTAGTGGAAACTATTCCAACAGACAAAGAAGGTTTATGGAAATGGAATGTAAAGTGGGAAGAATTAGATGAAGTAAGTGCGATCTAACATTTTCTTACAGAACATTGACTCTTCACATCATTGTTATAAATACAAACTAATTTATGAAATAATATCGTTATTTCAATAGAATATTCTTAATAATAAATTACGATCTTTCGTCAGTAAGAAGATAGTGGGATATCTTGGAGTTCAAGAAGATGAACTAGTTTCTTTCGTAATGGATCATTTGCGCAATAATAAATCTGCAGCACAATTAACTAAAGAAATGGAAATGGTATATTATCACACTTCTTAAATCATTTATCAATATATTTACTAACATTTACGTTCAACAATTAGACATTAGACGAAGAATCTGAACTTTTTGTAATGAAGTTATGGCGTATGCTTATTTATGAAACCGAAAGCAAAGCCAGAAAATTATGATTACATTACATTAGAACTTGTAAATGTGCATAAATCTCGCAAATAATATCTAAAAATTTATTTTGAATATTTGTATGTATAAAATGTGCTAATGATGCGTATAATTGACCGAGTTGAAATTGTATCAAATACTATCACTATTGCTATTATATACAATAGAAGTTTACAATTTAAAGTATCATATGATCCTGTGAAGTTGTAAATCGTGTTACGTTTCAGTTTCCATGTCACCTCCCTGCAAATTATGCATAAGTACACACAAACTTTATGGTATTCAAAGACGGCTGTCCGCGACATATTATATACATACTTAAAAAGCAATAAAAAATTCCTTCTTTTTTTTTTTTTTCTTTTTTTTTTTTTTACACAGGAAAGAATCACCTTTCTCTACTTATTAATTATACTGAACAATGAGCGGCTGGGAAAGCTTATTTAATACCGCTGCTGTCGAATATAGTAGTGGAAACTATAGAGTAAGAATTACTTTAGTTTTTTCTTATTATTATACTAAGATCTCATTTGTAACCAATCTTCTGTACAATCAGGATTCATATAGTAATTATTTAAAAGCAGCTAATGCGCTGCTCTACAAGTTTGGTCACGAGGTCGCTTTTGCCGATAGAGGTATTTATCAAGATGGCAGGATCTAGTTTCCATTTTAAAATCGGGCGAACATTAACGCGAATTTGTACTTTATTTAGAGACAGTAACATCTAAACCAGTCAATAGCACCCGATTATTTCAACAACTCAAATTTTGTGTACAAAGGCTTGAAGACATCCTTCAAAATAGAGCAAGAAATGGAGTACCTCCAATCTCACAACTTTCAGCTATTTCCGATAATGCTGCTTTAAATCTTACAAACTCGCATCCGATGCACCTACCCCTTGTTCCTTTCTCTCCACTTACTAGGCAATCTATTCACCATGCTCATTTTCTTGCTGTCACAAGCCAGCAATTATCTGTTGCCAACCAAAAAAGTCCAGATATTGGTAAAGATTCAGAGGGTATTATTCGGAAATTAAAGGATGAAGTCCGCCAACGGCAAAATAAACTTGATCAAGTCAATAATCAGATCCAATCAATTGCTGAAGTTACTCTGCTTCATTGGGATGCTGAAGCAGTTTCGCTGCAGTTAACCATAATTGACAGTTCATTATTTAATAAAGTAGATTTCAAAAGAGATTTTTCAGCAAAAGACAAAAAGAATTCCAAAGTGCAAGCTTGTATGGACTTCCACCGATACTTGACTAATAATTTTGCACACCAATTTATTTATGCAGATATGACTCGGACGTCCGTCAACTCTTTACGTGGAACTCAACATCCACGAGAAAGTATTATTCCTCATGCTGTCAGAATTGCCTATTATTTATTAAATGTTCATCGTAATTTTAATAGCTTTGCTGCTTTGATGAAAGCACTTACTTCTCCTGAAGTACGCAGGATAAGGCGTTTATGGACTAATCTTCCTGCGCATACCACTAAAATATTAAAAGAGCTATCATCATATGTGAAGAAAGATAATGATTACAAAGCTTATAGAGAAAAGCTTGCACAAAAGCTG